GACCGTATAAATGTACGGAATGTGGAAAACAGTTTGCTCAGAAAAAACATCTTACTAAGCATGAAAAAATCCATACAGGGGAGAAACCACATAAATGCACAGAATGTGGAAAGTGTTTTGCTCAGAAAGGGCGACTTAATTTTCATAAGAAGATCCACACTGGGGAGAAACCATATAAATGTATACAATGTGGGAAAGCGTTTATTCGGAAAAATAGTCTTATTAATCATGAAAGAATACATACAGGAGAGAAACCATTTCAATGTACAGAATGTGGAAAGAGCTTTGCTCAGAAAAGTCAAGTTAAAATTCATCAGACAATCCATACAGGGCAAAAACCATTTCAATGTACAGAATGTGGAAAGAGCTTTGCTCAGAAAAGACATCTTAAATTTCATCAGACAATCCATACAGGGGAGAGACCGTATAAATGCACAGAATGTGGAAAGAGCTTTGCTCAGAAAAGACATCTTAAATTTCATCAGACAATCCATACAGGGGAGAAACCATTTCAGTGTACAGAATGTGGAAAGAGTTTTGCTCAGAAAGGAAAACTTAAAATTCATCAGACAATCCATACAGGGGAAAAACCATTTCAATGCACAGAATGTGGAAAGAGCTTTGCTCAGAAAAGCCAACTTAAAATTCATCAGACAATCCATACAGGAGAGAAACCATTTCAATGTTCAGAATGTGGAAAGAGTTTTGCTCAGAAAAGCCAACTTAAAATTCATCAGACAATCCATACAGGAGAGAAACCATTTCAATGTACAGAATGTGGAAAGAGCTTTGCTCAGAAAGGACAACTTAAATTTCATCAAACAATCCATACAGGGGAGACACCGTATAAATGCACAGAATGTGGAAAAGCCTTCAGAAGATACTCTAATCTGACTCGCCATCAGCGGATCCACACGTTAAAAACCATATAGTTGCCAGGAGTATGGAAAGATTTCACTGAGAGTAGTGGTATTATTTCCCATCAAAGGATCCACCCAAGGGAGAAACCATATAAATGCCTGGAATGTGGAAACAGCCTTATTGACAACAGATTTTATTCGACATCAAAACTTCCACACTTGGAGTATGGAAAAAGCTTCATTCAAAAAGGAAACTTAATTGTCAAAAAAGGATCCACACAGGAGAGGGACCATATAAATGCAGAGTGTGGAAAAAGCTTTTGTCAGAAATGATAACTTATTTGTCATAAGAGGATCCATACTGGGAAAAGACCAAATAAACATATAGAATGTGGAAAGGGCTTCAGTTCAAACTGTAATCTTATTTGCCATCAGAAGATCCACACAATTGAAAAACCATATAACTGTTAAGTGTGGAAAGAGATTAAGTTGAGAGTAGTGATATTTCCGATCACAGGATACACACAGGAGAGAGATTATATAAAGGCTTGTAGTATGGGGAAAGCTTTAACAATCACAAGGCATTATCTCATGAAAGAATCCACACTGGGGAAAATCCATATACATGCACAGAGTGTGGAAAGGGCTTTTCTTGGAAAGGACAACATAAATCTCATAAAAATGTGCCCACAGAAGAAATCGTATAAATCTATGCAATGAGCTTCATTCAGACAGTCAAATCACTCAGCATCTAATGCAGACGGGAAGGAAGCTTATTGCATAGTATATGCAAAGATATTTTGGTTGATCTGTAATCTTATTCATGATCCTGTGAGGGTTTTTTATTTTCCAAGCAGTCAGCACAGCATTAACAAATGTGTACACCGTGCTTTATTGTGTGACATGCCTTCCCCAACAACAGGCTATTGCTCTTAACTATCCTGGGCTTTGCAAAGTGATGATGTTGCCATGTAAGTAAATTTAATAGTGTCCCGGTCTGAAACAAAATTCTCTTAGTCTGTAAAGTGGTATGCAACCTTTCCGTCCTTCCAAATATTCTCACACTAAAGTGCAGTTGCTACTTTTCTCTTGGCCAACTCCAAGCTCTGCTCTTCAGCAGTGTTGCTTTTGAGGATTCCAGCTGAGCTCCCAAGCCAAGCTCCAGGCAGGAGCCCCACCAGGAGATGCTGCTAGCCGTAGTTTGTGGAGCTGAGGGATTGCCTGCTTATATTGGTTGTTAGTCACCAAATATGGCCTGCTTCCCCATCTTCTTGTCTTTTTCTTATCTCCTTTTCTCTTACCCACACATGCTCTTTGCTCTTTCTTAGCCTTTGGTTTTTGTACACTAAGGGCCTTGTTGGGGTGAGGTTGCTTCTGGATTTCCACACATTCTTGAAAATGACAATTGTGGCTCAATTAGCCAGGAACTGGCATGGCAGCATGGATCCTTTAAGTAAACTGAGTAAATGAGTTGAGTGAGCGAATGAATGATTGCATGAGCCTATCTCAAACTTCTTTGAGGTGTGCTGAGCCCTGGGGAAGAGGGATGGGAAGCATTTCTGCCTGGCTGCAACTGTGTTTTGCCCAAGCACAGATAGCAATGGTAGCTTTGCTTCCTCAAGCATCCACCCAGGAGAAAAACTATACGTGCCCAAATAAAGAAACAGCTGAAGATGGAGCGGTGGCATTCCTATTCGTGGGATTAACTACACAAGTGAGTTATAGAAACATGAGAGATTGGGTAATTCAGTGAAACTTAACTAATGCATAATTACATTTTCTGCTCATATCCCTCAAAAGTGTCAGGCTTGGCTACCCAACAGTTGGAGAAAAGGGTTAGGAATTTAGACTGGAAGAATGTTCATCCTTTTCTCCTCCATCTCTTTATTTCCTCCCTTTCCATGGCGCTGCCTTCCCAGATTACTCAATTTATTTTTGAGGAGTTCCACAATTTCCTGAACTACACCCATGCTCCTCAGCTGTGTATGCCCATTGGTTGCACCAAAATGTGGTTAATAACGGGCTGGGATCTTTACAAAGTAAATATTTGGAGCTCTTTAACACATTACAAAACAAGCCTGAGATTGGGAGGTAAAAAGAGTGGCCTTAAACTACAAGATGAGTAGCATATCATTTTGATAAATAAATGTACAGTTACACGTCTGATGTAGAAAGATCAGGTAAATTCTTCCTGAACTCAAATGAGGAATAGTCAAAAATGTATGACCTTCTGGATGGACAGATCCTTTAACTGGGTTCCTACAGCATGTCAGGTTACACTAAAAGTGAGTTTAGTTCATTTCTAATCTGGCTAATTTTGTCCAAATAAGCAGGGCAAGTTCTGCTCAGAGTGAGGATACACCTTGAGCTTCAGAAGTCCTGCTGCTATGCTCATTGCTGCTCTGATGGAATGCATCTGTCTTGTTCTGTTCCTCTCCTTCCTTTCATCTTGGTAATTCTGTGGATTCCTCAGTGGAGTTGGGTCTTCGTTTAAAGTTATCTGTACATTTGTGCCCCAATTGTCTCCATTTTTGCTCTAATTGTTGGGGTGGTTTGAGTAATCCTGGTGCTTTCAAGAGCCTTCTCCAAAGTTGAAAAGCATCGTAGAATCATATGACTAAAAGGGACCTTTGAGATATTGTAGTACAACCTTATGCCCAAGGTGTGGCTGTTGTCCAGCACCATGGCTGCACTATCTGTAACACTTCATCTAAGCTTTTTTGTTACATTGAATAATACCTTGATCACGTGGCCTCAGTACTGCCATATAGAGTAGTACCATGACTAAAAGCAAGGTTCTACATTTAGGCAAGAAAAACCACATGCACAAGTACAGCATAGGGGGTACCTTGCTCAATAGTAGTAACTGTGAGAGGGACCTCGGAGTCCTAGTGGACAATCACCTAAATATGAGCCAGCTGTGTGCTGCAGCTGCCAAAAAGGCCAACACAGTGCTAGGCTGCATTAACAGAGGGATAGAATCAAGATCACGTGAAGTGTTAATACCACTTTACAATGCCTTGGTAAGGCCACACTTGGAATACTGCATCCAGTTTTGGTCACCGCGATGTAAAAAAGATGTTGAGACTCTAGAAAGAGTACAGAGAAGAGCAACAAAGATGATTAGGGGACTGGAGGCTAAAGCATATACGGAACGGCTGCTGGAATTGGGTATGTCTAGTTTAACAAAGAGAAGGACGAGGGGGGACACGATAGCAGTCTTCCAATATCTCAGGGGCTGCCATAAAGAAGAGGGAGTCAAGCTATTTTCCAAAGCGCCTGAAGGCAGGATAAGAAGCAACGGGTGGAAACTAATCAAGGAGAGAAGCAAACTAGAACTAAGGAGAAACTTCCTGACAGAACAATTAACCAGTGGAACAACCTGCCTCCAGAAGCGGTGAATGCTCCAACACTGGAAGCTTTTAAGAAGAGACTGGACAGCCATTTGTCCGAAGTGGTATAGGGTTTCCTGCCTGAGCAGGGGGTTGGACTAGATGACCTTCAAGGTCCCTTCCAACTTTACTATTATTATTATTATTATTATTATTATTATTACTACTACTACTTCCTGTGATGTTGGTGCTATCCCTCTATTGATCCAAACAAGAACTATTTTTTGGCAGCTATGGCAGCTGGCTTTTATTGTAGTTAAGTGATGGTCCACCAGGACACCAAGATCTTATCACAGGCACTAGTGCTGAAGCAGGTAACCCTGTGCATCTGGTTTTTCCTGCTGACGTGCAGGATCTTTCTCACTACTGAATAGAATAGAGCTGGAAGGGACCTTGGAGGTCTTCTAGTCGAGCCCCCTGCTTGAGCAGGAGAACCTATATCGTCTCAGACAGGTGGATGTCTAGTCTCGTCTTAAAAATCTCCAGTGATGGAGCGCCCACGATTTCTGGTGGCAAGCTGTTCCACTGGTTGATTGTCCTCACTATCAGGAAATTTCTCCTTAGTTCCAGATTGCTTCTTTCTTTGGTCAGTTTCCAACCGTTGTTTCTCGTCCTTCCATCTGGTGCTTTGGTGAACAACCTGGCCCCCTCTGCCTTGTGGCAGCCCCTCAGATACTGGAACACTGCTATCATGTCTCCCCTATTTCTTCTGTTTCTTTTGTTGGATAGCTCCAATATTCTTTCTACCCTGCTGCTTCAATTTTTGCTTCCATAAAGTTTCACAAAGAAAATAATTGCCTACTCTCTTTTGATCTTAGCATTTGAATATTTTTTTTCAAAGCCTTCGTCCCTCTTCTACTAAATGCTAATCTGAAGCATAGTTTTGCCTGTGGGTTCCTTTATTGTTTTCTGCTGATCCTGAAAAGATTTTCTTTTTTTTTCATGGTTGCCTGACACAGATGCTTCCTGCTTGCTTTAACTTCATACCTCCAGGGAGTCTGTGAGGTTTGGCAAATGCTCCTGGAGTGCTTCACTCACCCCACCCAGGAACATGGATTCTGCCAGGATGAGGCAGAACAAAAGAAAACAATTCCTTGGTTTGGAAAAGGAAAACATTATCTCCGTTATATCACCTTCCCACAGTCTTGAGCAATAAAGCTTGTCAGTTCAGCCATAAACACTTAGAATGGAAGCAATCATGGCCAACTCACCATGGAACAACTTGCCGCAGAACAATCCAAAATAACAAAAATTATTACAATAATTTTGACGAAAACATGTCTCACCAATAATAAAAGTAACTGAACAAAATGATTAATACAGCATTGGATCATCCCGTGGCCAGTTGTTCTAACTAGACTTTATTTAGAAAGCCAAGAAGGTTGGGGAAAAAACAAACCCCTAGAATATATTAAGAGGAACACATTATCATTGTAAAATGAAAAGCAATTCCTTAGAAAGAACTGTATTTCCAAAATACTGCCTCTTTTTTCTCCTCAATGTGCTATTCTTTTGAATAACAGCGATGTCAGGGGTGTCACACTGGCGGCCCATGGGCCAGATGCATCACACACAGGCCACACCCACCCTGGCTCTGCAAAAGCAAAGAATGTCACGATACATCACAATACATCATGTGACACAATCGAGTTTGACACCCGTGCACTACGTCATTGATTCCAAACAAGTAATGCTGATTAAATTTATATGCTGTCCAACTCCGAGTAACTCTGGGCAATTACAGGTAGTCCTTGACTTACAACAGTTCGTTTAGTGACCATTCAAAGTTACAACGGCACTGAAAAAAGTGACTTAAGATCATTTTTCACACTTAGGACCGTTGCAGCATCCCCATGGGTGTGTAATTTACATTCGGATGCTTGGCAACTGCAGTGTCCAGGGAAGGAAGGGGTAGGCAACCTTGGCTCTTTTATGACTCATGGACTTCAACTCCCAGAATTCCTGAGCCAGCCATGCTGAGGGGAAAGGGAGAGGTTTCCAAGCTGAGC